ATCTAGAATATTGCAACTCATGTACATGTTCAAACAAATGAAATAATGACACTCGCATAGTACCATTAAACAATAATTGTTATATTTCAACGAAAAATCCTATGATAATATATTTCAATGAAAATTCTAACGGATATTCTAATGGTATAGCTTTTGTTGGAATGGTTCCAACAGAAATTTCAATATTCCGTTGGAATGTGTTTTTCATTGAAATTTTAGATGGAATTTGATGATTCTAACGGTTATATTTTCAACGACTTTTTCCATTGGAATATGCAAATTCTGTTGGAATTTTTATTTTCACCCCTGTTGGAAAATCCACCATTGGAATCGTCAAAGTTCAACGAAAATTCCAATGGAAAATTCATTCCAACGGAATATTTTTGTTGGAATTTCCGTTGGAATCCATTGAAAAATTCCAACGGAAATAATAATATTGAAATATCCGTTAGAATTGTCGTTGGAATAATTCTTTTGAAATAGATTTCTGTTGGAATTTCATCATTTTTTTTTTCCCATCGTCTAGTGGTTTAGAACACCTCTCTTTCAAGGAGGCAGCGGGGATTCGAATTCCCCTGAGGGTAGGGTACTACGAAAGAAAGTTGATCATGAATTAGCAATAAGCCTAAAAAAGATGTAGTGTATATGTACACATATTATTTTGTGATGTGGTCTAACCGCTAACCGAATTGATAGTTAATTGAATTGATTCGGCGGTCATGCTATTAAACAAAAATGCATACATATATTATTAGACGTTATATTTTTATTTATGTTGTACTATAAAGTATGGTATTTTCTAATTGAAATGTATATATATGTAAAAAGAGTATCGATATAGTCTGCTTGCTGGTAATATTACGACCTGACACTTTTTAGCAATTTTAACCAAATTTTGGAATACTAACAAATAAAGCATAACCTTGTGCAAAATTTACAATCCTAAGTGTGTTCGGCGTTTGCTCTCGTCTCGTATAAATCTTCAACCCTGCATCCCGATTACATACGGATGTGCTCCGACGTCGTGCCAAAATGTGCTCAGGGCCTACGAGTTTCCTTCACTTGTCTGGGATGGCCGAGGGCCTCGACGGTAACAACCACGTGACATTGATACCCAACCGTTTTTGGGAAAAAGGAGAAAGTCCAGATCCCGACGAGAGGTCGGAGAGTCGCCAGACAATCTCGCGTTTTTTTCATCTCCTTTTATGAATTCTTTTTCTTCTTTTTTTTCTTCTGACGAGGCGATGAATTGTACGTCGGAGGAAACTGTGACCCGTGAGATAGCCATGACGTGCTCCATTGAGGCTCTCCGGCTAGTTGGCTACAACAAGCTTTTCTTTTTCTCAATTTCTTCGGTTTGTTTTGGTTGAGGCTGAGGCTCTGGGATGGCATTCGAGGGGGCGTTGACCGAAGGAGGAGGGGGGTTGGTCGGAACTGAGACCGGGGGATTCATTTTGGTTGATAGCAAAAAGGAAAAGTTGCTAAAACTGAAAATGGGCACGGTGGCCCGCCACTGGCTTAGCTCGAGTTGGAGTGTTGTCTTTGCTAAGTTCGTATGCTCTGCTCTTCTAGTCAATCCATTCACCAGTCATGCCTTCTGATCGAGTTTCAACCAGGTCATCCAAGAGCCCTAGCTCGACCTATTTGTGCTCCTTTGAACCTGCAACGTCCCCATCGATCTGAGGACTCCTCGATTTGCAGCTCTGCTCGACCAACCAGTTATGTCCTGCCCAACTGGCTGGTTTATTGGGTCTATTTGTCTCAGTATGGTATCCCATATCACACTCACACACACATATATTAATAGGGAAAATTTCACTTTTGGTACCTAAAGTTTACCTACTTTTCAGTTTTGATACCCGTGGTTTTAACTTAATTAATTGTAGTCACTAGCGTATTCAAAATCCATCATTATTGCCCAAATCGTCAGTTGACCGTGAGTCAACTGACCACCACCTTCTCTAGCCGGTTGTTTTCCCCAAAGAAACCTAAATAATCGGTTTCCCCTAATTTTTCCAATCGAGCAGACCTAATTGCTGTGAAAAAACCCTAACATTTTACCCTTAGAAAAATTTCTTTAATTTATCGCATTCAAGTGGGCAATCGACTGGTGTTTTGGTGTATTGTGAGCTTCCATTTCAGATTTGCGACGAGCATCTTCTGATTTGCAACGAGCATATTATCTGATTATTGTGACGACCCATCTGAATCCATGGCGAGAAGGATTATACGTGGGTTGCAACCTGAATATGGTAAGTTTTTTCACTTCAGTTCGTCACTAATTTTTTGAATTATATGGTTAATTTTGAAAAGTTCCATATTGTATGATTATTGTGAGATTTGCCCTAAAAATTAGGGTTTTTTCAGCTGAACAAATTAGGGGTTTTTCAGTTCTGTTTATCTGTTTATGCATACTATTTTTCAGTTATGTTTATTTGATTTTTCTTTTTTTTTTTTGTTGTGTTGTAGACCCTTTGTTGGAACCAACTGTCTTCACAATTGAGTTTCTGCACGGTGGTTTAATAATGCATATTCCTGTGAAAGAGTACCGAGGTGGGTATTTGGATTATTTTGATGGGGTGGATGGGGAGATGTTTGGGTTGATTGAGTTAAAGGATTTTATAGAGCAACTAGGTTATAACAGTGATCATGTGAATGCCTGGCATGTGCATGGAATTAGTTTACAAGATGGTAGTCATATTATTGATAGTGATCAATTGGCATATAAGGTCATGAACTTCATTCCTGAAAACAGAATAGTGAGAATTGTTTTAGAACATGTACATCATGTTGATAACAACTACTCTAATCTTGAGGTTGAAAGTGATCCTGTGATTGACCTCTCATTTCTTGGTAGTCTGAACTCTAATGTTGAACAACCTGAACATCCTGAACAATCTGTACAATCTGAACAACATGAACAAAATGAAGAGTGTGCTTCTGTTGATGATAGTGATTCAGAATGTGAGGAGTTCAATGATAGTGACTATGATATGGATGAGGATGATATTTTGTTTGACAGAAATGTTGACAAAGATGCAGAATTTGTTGGGGTGAATGAAAAAAATAATGGTAAATCAATTGAAAATGAGTTTTTGTCTGAGGGTATATTTGAGGAAGAGCATGATCTTGAGTTAGGGGATAGTGATTCATTTGAAAGTGTTAGAGGGTCTGATGAGGAGGATAATATTGTTAAATTCCCTAAATATAATCCTAAAACTGATAAAAACCCTGAGTTAAAGTTAGGGATGATTTTTAGTACAAAATCAGAGGCTAAGGATGTTATTTAGGGTTTCTGCTATAGAAGAGGGATGGTGGTTCGTTTTGATAGGAATGACAAAAGAAGATTGAGAGCTAGGTGTACCACAGAGGGGTGTGGGTGGTATATTTTTGTTTCACCAATGCAAAATGACTCATCTTGGCAGGTGAAGTGTTATGAGAAAAACCACAAAGGTTGTTCTTGGAACTACAATAATCCTAGCATCAAATCTGGGTGGATAGGGAAGAATTTCATGAAAAAGTTTAAGAAGTACCCTAAGTTAGGAGTCAATGAGTTTAGGGGTATGTTGTGTACCAAGCTGAAGTCCAATATTTCTAAGCAACAAGCCTACAGGGCCAAGAGGAAAGCAATGATGCTTCTAGATGGAACATTAAAAGAACAATTTAGTACAATCAGAAGCTACTGTTTAGAGTTGTTAAGGTCCAATGATGGTTCAACTATTGTCTTAAAACTGAGCAATTGTGAAGAACAATCAAGGCAACCTGTGTTCCAGAGACTGTATGTTTGTTTTGATGCCTGCAAGAAGGGTTTTAGGCACTGCAGAAAAATCATTGGTGTTGATGGGTGCTTCTTGAAAGGCCCCCAAGGCGGTCAGCTCTTAACAGTAGTGGGAATTGACCCAAATAACCAGATTTTTCCTGTTGCTTATGCAATAGTTGAAAATGAGAATAAAGATTCTTGGATGTGGTTTTTGAGGTTGTTACAGAATGATTTAGGGATTGATAATGAACTTGAATGGACTTTCATGAGTGATAAACAGAAAGGGCTTATCCCTGCCTTTGAAGATTTGTTCCCCAATGCTGAAAACAGATTTTGTGTTAGGCATTTACACAGCAACATGAAAAGAGATGGGTTTGTTGGTCAGTCAATAAAAAATGCTTTGTGGGCTGCAGCCAGAGCAACTAGGGTGGAAGTTTTTAGTGCAAAGATGGATGAATTGAAAGAGTTGGATCCAAAGGCTTATGAGTGGCTGGTAAATAAACCTCCCCATCAATGGTCTCGGTCTCACTTCAAAACTTCACTGAAGTGTGATATTTTACTGAACAATATGTGTGAGTGTTTCAATTCTTTCATCTTGAATGCAAGGGACAAACCAGTCATTGTGATGCTTGAGACAATAAGGCACTTGTTGATGGCTAGACTACAAGTGAACAGAGATGCAGCTAAAAACTGGTCTGGGAGGATCTGCCCTAGAATTAAAAAGATACTTCAAAAAAATATTAAAGATGGTGCAGAGTGTATTCCCATGAAAAGTGATGATTGGCACTTTGAAATCATAGGCCCTTATGATCAACACACAGTTGATGTTGCTGGACTGAGTTGTAGCTGTAGAAAATGGGATTTGACAGGAATCCCTTGTAAGCATGCATGTGCTGCCATTTGGTGTAGACATGAAGATCCTGAGTGCTATGTTGATGACTTGTATAGTCAAAACACAAACAAAAGTGCATATGAAAATGCCATCATGGGGATTTCATGTTCTGAATTGTGGCCTAAATATGATTTACCAGCTCCTTTGCCACCAATATATGAAAATAGGCCTGGTAGGCCCAAAAAATTGAGGAGGAGGCAACCTGATGAGCCTCCTGCTCCATCCTCTCAAACCAGGCTTAAAAAAGTTCAAAATTCTGTGAAGTGTGGTAAGTGTGGTAAAATAGGCCACAACTCTAGAACATGCAAGAATCAACAATCTGAGAGTAGAACTCCAGTGGCAACAAGCATGGGTGGCACTCAATCTCAGTCACAATCTAAGTCTCAGACACAATCTAAGTCTCAGTCTCAATCTCAGTCTAAACTTCAATCTCAATCTCAACCTTCAAGTATTCAGAAAAGATCAAAGCTACCTGTAAGTATGATTTGATTAAATGTAACTTTTATTAATAAATATCATTCTTCAGTTACATGCAACTGTTATTATGATTTTGATAGGATGCAATTGTTTTGCACAAAATAGGTTAAGAGGAAGAAAAAGACTGCCACAGTTGGTGGTGTAAACCTAAGTGGAGGCACAAATAGAGTATCTTCAATTAATGTAAGATTTTTTTTAAGTGGTGGCACTCAATCTCAAATTATGTATGAGCTTGATAAATCAAATTTTCTGGTGTAGGTGATGCAATCATCTTCTGGAACTGGACAAGTCATTGTAAAGGGAGGTGTAAACTACATTACTCTTTCAAATTTAAGAGCTGCAGCTACTCAAGGGACTTCAAGGCAAGATGGGGGACAAAAATCCATTTGAGGATATGCTGAAGTCAATGTTTAAGTATTGATTGGTTGTGTGAGACAGAAATCCATTTGAGGATATGCTGAAGTCAATGTTTAAAGAAAGTAGAAATTTTGTGTGATGTGTTATGTATTGAAGACATAATTCCTTCTCTTTTTGTAGTGATGTTTTCTAGTGATGTTGTGAACTGAAATTTTGTTTGGATGTTGATGTTGTGTTGTTTGAGATGCAGTGGGAATGGTTCTTTATGGCTATTATGTTTTTGTTGGAGTTTTAGGTTTTGTGTTGAGGTTTATTGGTATAATTGTGGTTCTTTGTGGCTATTGTGTTTATGGTTTAGGTTCTTCTGGTTATTGTGTTAATGTTTTAGTTTCTTTTGTTGGGGTTTATGGTTTTATTGATGTTCTTGTGGCTTTTGTGTTATGTAATTTCAAACACACATAAACAGGTTTTGCCCTCAGAACCAATAGAGAAAATTCAACCAACATTTTCGTACTAGAACCATTACATAATTTGATAAAATTTGACCACATAATTTGACAGAATGTTTGTGCTACAAACTGCTGACCATTACCATTACATAGTACTTCAAATTACACCAACTATAGCTATCTAAAATCTAGTTAAAACAGAATTTGACAAGATACAACAATGAGAGAATAATTATACCAACCCATAATTTTTTGATCTTATTCTTGCACACAACCAGTGCATTGTTTATGTCATCCACCTTGTTCATTGCCACCAACAACCGAGCTTCTATTCCAGCAATATTCAACTTGTACTGAGCTTCTATTTCAGAAATATTCAACTTGTACTGAGCTTCCATTTCAACAATCTTCAACTTGTACTGCTCAATCTGATGTTGATGTTTATTTGATTTATCCAGCAAATCGGGTATAATATTCTTTGCTCTTTCGCAAATTTTCGGATCAAACCATATAAAAAATCCGCAAAAACCAAAGTTCTGCAATTTTTTTTTTTACAAATTCTTCTTAATTTACATTAGGCGCAAATTAAAACTAAAATGAAAACAAAAACAAAATAATTAATTACTCCATATTTAGGGCATGCCCAATATCTTCTTCCCGGATTATTTCGAGTCCAAGAGGTCTTCAAGTATACTTTATCTCCACAATTGCAGGTCATCTCCATTGGAGCACCATTAATCTCGGAGTTCCAGCGAGAGTTCCAGCTTCCTCTTGAACTGCTCATCTTCAAATTCTTTTTTTTTCCCCTCACTTTCGGCGGCTTTGTGGTGCTGTAATGGAGATTGTTTGTCCCATTTTTGTGTCATTATTTTCGGTTTATTTTCTCTTTATTTTCCCCCACCTATAGGATTTTCGTAGTTTATTTGGTTCTATTCTGTGTTCTTTGTGTTCTCTGTCTTTTGTTTCGTTTTTGTGTATTTTTGTTGTCTTTGCTTCGTTTTCCCTTGTGTTCGTGTTTTCAGGAATTAGGATGTGATGATCGAGGGATAGACTATTGGGGCCGAGACCGTGATATCCGGGATACCAAGTTACCAAAACCGGGAAGCTGAAAGAAGGACCAGAAAGACGATCGTAACAGAAGGCCAGTTTTTCTCGCGACTCGCGAGTCAATCGCGACTCGCGAGAATTTCAGAGGAAGAACCAAATTTGTGCCAGGAAGGCGACTCGCGAGTCAAAGTCGCGACTCGCGAGGTTTTCAGAGCATCGAGGCGTTTTTTTTTTGTGACACGAGTCGCGACTCGCGAGTCCATGTCGCGACTCGCGAGATAAGTCGCGACTCGCGAGTCGGGTCGCGAGTTTCCCCAGAAGTTTAAATATTTTTCGAAGACGCGCGAGTCGCGAGATGTCGCGACTCGCGACTCGGCAAAAATGTAAGTCGCGACTCGCGACTTGCTCAGCGCGAATTTCGAGGTCGGGATTTTAACATCAGATTTTTGACCTAGACTTCATTAATCATCTTCCAGACCTTGTTTTTACATTATTCTCTCTAGAAAACTCACTCCGTTTATTACTTTTACGTTTTTGATTCGTATTGGAGACTAGAAAACTCCTATTTACCGCTCTGGATTTGGATGCTTGTGGATTTTAACATTGGGAT